AAAAAAAAAAAAAAAAAAAAATTTGTTTCCTGGCAGATAGAGTTTTAACAAGTGCATTAAGCAGTAATAGTTTAGTGGTCTTGTGCTCAATTCTCACACATGATCTTTGCAAGGGTCCCAGCAGCCATCATAGCTCTACTTTCACATGCAAGGGACACAGCACATAGTGGCAGCCTGGAAAGGACTGCAAAGGAGTGTGAATTCCAAACATTCTCTCAAGCCCTAACATTTCTGTTCTTCATTTTGTGTGACTCAAGCCCATGGAAACAAGGCAATGATGGCGCTTGAGGGTGATCAGAACTCCTCAATCATTCTATCAGTCACCCAGGACTCAACAGCATAACCTCAGAGGACTCCGCTGACAGAGGTTTTCACTCGAGCACTAACCACAGAGAAATGGGAAGTGCCATCCTGCTGCCATAAGCAGCCGATGGCCGGTTAGGACTAAATGCCCTTCTGGGGTGAGATGAACCAAGACGGCAGATGGGGGAACAGAGAATACGAATGGATCCTTATATTGCAGATCAAACTGGGTTACTGTCTCTTCTCAAACCAGCCAGGCAGTTTCTGAATGTCCCAAGACAGGGGTAGGAGAAAAGAAAAAAAAAAAAGACAAAACAGGAGACAGTGGGTAAAAAAAACCTAAAAGGCACAATGAGGCCAAGGCACAAGATGGAGGCTGGCTTTGGGATCTGAAATCAGGCCACAATCCTCCTTGTTTTACCTATAGTCCAAGAACTGTCAAACAGAAAACCCGGAAGGGCTGTTCATTCTAAATTTTAAAACCTTTTCTTCCTGGCCTACCAAGTCCTTGTGTTTTCTTTCTAGGCAACCATAAATACAACCCCATTACAGTTCCGTTTGGCTAATAATTTATAGAACATTTAAAATACCAGGTAGGTGAACATCTCTTCATGACTTTTGTGCAAGGCCCTGAAGCGGGGGCGGGGGAGACAACTTATTGGAGATTCCTACCTGGCACCTTCCAGGGAAACTGACAACAAGAGAAATCCATTGCTAGGATTTCTAGGAGATCTGGAAATTCTCTTATTGTTCTTTCTCAACAATATAAAATGGTATATCTGCAAACCTATCTGAATCACCTCAATCTAGGCCACTTTAAAATTTTCACTAAACAATGTAATCACAGATTTTTAAACTAATTACTCAATTTGCAAACAAATCCCAGCTACGTCTGGTGGTAGTTCAACTGCAATTTTCTTTACTCTGTATGTCTTGAATGTGCAGTGAAGGTGTGTCAGTAAGGCCAATGTTCTTAGGTTGACAGAGACAGGTTAACACATTGGCTGGCTTCATTTACCCCCCTGCCATGCCCACACTGAGCTGGATGACTTGATGGGAAGAGAGGGTCCCTGATTCAGGGTTCAATTCCCCAGCCCCAGCATTCTTGGGTTTTCAGGAGGCTCAGCCTGTGAAAAAGAACCAATAAAGGTGCACACCCTGCTGAAGTGGCATCTGGCCAAAGAATTCCAACAGAATGAATTTCATCAAAATGGAAAAGATCATCCACGGCACCAATTCTGTGCTTCTTACAGGCAACGATTACCAAATGAGTCAAAACGTGGCCTAGAAGTGGAGCCAGGCCCAGTGACAAGCCTGAGTTCACACGTGCTAGGGGCTCCACGGACCGCCCTCTGCAGCCCAGCACCCAGTCCTCTTGCTCTGGGTGTGAGGTGAGGAGGCGGAGTGCACATGCCGCCTGCCTCCTGTGTTCCCGGCCTGGCTGGCAGTGGTAAAATGGGCTGCCTTTCTTATGCAGCTTCTTCTAATCGAAATACCAAGGACTATTGACCTCTGGCCTCAGGAATGTGACTTGCAGCGCAAATTTTACCTCTTCAGTGCAGAGGGTGATCTTGAAATCTTGCCAGGATGTGGCCCTCCCTCAGCTCCTGCCACCCTGGGGAGCCAGGATGCTGAAATGCATCAGGCAAAAGTGCTGAATCCGATCTATTCCCTGCTGACCTTTAGTTATGATCACACTGCCCTGACCAGCTGGCGTTTGGCCTGTGTGAAGCCAGTGATTTCCAACCCACCAAAGAAGGTATCTGAGTCCCGTGTGAAAGCCAAATTCCTCCTGAATCTGTGATTTGGTGAAGCTCTATCTGTGAGGTATTTTTTTGTGTGTGGAAGACTGAAAGTGAAAGGAAACAACTAAAAAAAATTAGACGAAAGCAGTGTACCTTATACTGGTTTCCTCAAACATAATGCCTGTGCCAAGAATTGGGCAGGAGAGAAACCAATGAAATGAAAATAATAACTTATCCTGAGGCGCTCCCTCCCACGCTGGCTTAGAGATCGCTCACACACAAAAACTCTCCTTGTCTGTATGGAGCTGTCTCTCAGTATGAGGGCAGTTCTTCCCAAAAGCCCGTCATTAAATAAGCTACAAACAGGTGCAAGCGATGTACCTGCATGGGTTCCTGAGACTTGCCTTGCAGAAGTGGCTCTAAGTCACCGACTCTTGGGAACGCCAGAGAAAAACAGCGCAGACAGGTGGGCAAAAACAAAAACAAAAACAAAAAATCCTGGTGCCTGCACCAAGTTCTTCTCCCAAAGTATGTTTTACTCACACGGGGCAAATTTCTGTCGGGGCCTCAGCTGCCTTTAGGAGAGTAAGGGTTTGCAGGGGCACAGGGAATGCTGTCAGTGTCTGAGGAGGAAACCCTGCCTCACTTATTTCAAATCTTGCCTCTGGTTTTCTAAGCAAATTCTTCTTGGGATACAAAGCACATATTAGAGCTTCCTTCTTGCCTTAATGCAATGAAATTTGCAGCCATTCTGCAGAAGAACCGAAGCTCTTGGGTGAAAAGAAGGCTTAAATTATGTCACGGTATGTATGGGGGGAGGGGCATTCAGGTTTAGGTATTTTCCCGAAGGAAGAGCAAGGGGTGAATGTATTGGCAGCTGAGCTGTCCCTTCAAGGGGATATTGTGAAACAAGCTCAACAAAAACCTCTCCCTCTGAAGCATGAAATGTTCCTGGCGGGGACGGGATTCCTTTGTGGCAGTGATGTAACCTTACGTCATATGCTATGCACATCTGGAGCGTTTTCCTGAGTCACCTGAGGAAAATGTAGCAACAGAGAAAAGCACTTGGAAAATACACGTAGCAGGCAGGTAGTGTTCACCTCCCTGGTTAAAGGAAAGGCACCTCACGCATACAGGAACGCTCCCTCCTGCCCCTCCTCTTTCCCTACCCCACTTCCACCCCAGGGGCCACCGGAAGCAGCATCAGCAACCCTGGCTCCTCATCCCCTGCCGTGATGCCTGCAAGAGGCGCTGGCTAGAAGTGGTGCTGCTGAAGGGCTGTGGACGAGGTTCTCTTCTCCAGCCTCTTCACGTGGCAGGAGTGACAGAACAGGTGATCCTCCAGCGGATAACAGCGATGGCCATCTTCATCATTGAGCTCCAGACCACAGTCCTGGGGAGAGGCAGACATGTCCATGGGAAGCAAAACAAAACAGACTGCAAGACTGACATGAAGGCCACAGTCCCCAAAATCAGCAGAGGGTGCTGTGTGTTTCTGTATAGGCAGGAAACGCTGGTGCAGAAACACAGCTCCTGCCCAGCGGAGGCCTGTCCAACGCAGGAGACACAGCCACACAGCACGTGCTGTGAACCACTTAAGATGCGCTGACAGTGTAAATGCACACCAGATTCCTAAGACTTAGGACAAAAAGAGGATGTGAAAATATCTCGTGGGGAAAAGGAATGAGATCGTGTCCCTTCCAGGGACATGGATGAAGCTGGAAGCCATCATCCTCAGCAAACTAACACAGGAACAGGAAACTAAACACTGTTATGTTCTCACTCATAAGTGAGAACACACGGACACATAGAGGGGAATAACACACACCAGGGCCTGTGTGGGGGTGGCAGGAATGAGGGGAGGGAACTTAGAGGATGCGACAATAGATGTAGCAAACCACCATGGCACACATATACTTACGTAACAAACCTGCAGCTTCTGTACATGTATCTCATTTTTTTTTTAGAAGAATAAGTAAATTGTGGAATTACAAAAAAAAATCTCATGGGTAATTTTTTAATGCTGATTACATGTTCAAAAGATAACATTTAGAATTTTTTTGGTTGTTTTTTTTGAGACAGAGTCTCCCTCTGTCGCTGAGGCTAGAGTGCAGTGGTGTGATCTTGGCTCACTGCAACCTCTACCTCCCGGGTTCAAGCAATTTTCCTGCCTCAGTCTCCTGAGTAGCTGGGATTACATACGTGCCACTATGCCTGGTTAATTTTTGTATTTTTACTAGAGATGGGGTTTCACCATGTTGGCCAGGCTGGTCTTGAACTCCTGACCTCAAGCGATCTGCCAGTCTTGGCCTCCCAAAGTGCTGGGGTTACAGGCATAAGCCATCGTGCCCGGCCCCTTATATTTGTTTTGGACAGCACCGGTCTAGAAAATGTGGAGAGACCTGTTGAGCAAATGTCCTCACCTTTTTCTCCTGCAGTGGTGACCTGGGGCACCTGAGGTCCCAGCAGCAATGATTCCCACCCATTTCTTCAGTGTTGGCAGTAGGACCAGTCTATATGAGGGACACCCCCATTCTCTCTACCCACAAAGTCACCAAGCGAATCTAATACCCTTCCACGGGTGAATTCACTTAATTGTGGCTGAAATTCCATGGTCACCCTTCACAAGGGCTGGTGAGGGGTGACCCCTAGCTTTCCTGACAGTCATGAGGTACTAGTGCTCCTCCATCCTGGGTTGGGACACAGGGCAGGAAGGGGCAGGCGAACCCCACCCACCTTCACACCACTCAGCTGTCATGCCTGTTTCCAAGAGGGGCTTCATGATTTCCAGGGCTCTGCTGAGACGGGCTTCTGGCACACAGAACAGCCTGCAAGCTGGAGGGGAGGGAGTCTCTTCCCAAACTGCACACCTGCCTGACAATGCGGCCTCCAGACAGGACCTGAAACCCATGCTCTCCACGACCCTCCTAGTTCTGCAGCTTCAGGGAGAGCAGCTCCAACAGCTGCAGGACTTGATAGTTCTGAACGTTCAGAAGAAAGACCTTTCGACCTTGAGCATTTCCATCATCTCCCACCTCCGCCAAGAACCAGGCTTCACCCCACTTCCTACAGCAGCTCTAGAGGGCTGACCCTTGCCAGAATCTTGTTGACCACCTCCTGCCCCAGTCAATGCAGAATGCTTTTCTTTTGGATGTCTATGATGGGCTCTGGGGCTGGGTGGGGAGGCACCTACCTCACAGTGGTAACACTCCACGTGGTAGTCTCTGTCCATGGACACAACACGGATGGTCTCGTCTGAGCCCTGGGACCAAAGAAAAGCAAGAACACGCAGGAGAGGCCTGTAAGGGGGCCTGCCGGACTTGATGCACCACAGCGTGGGGAGGGAAGAGGGTTTGGGGGTAGCAGGTAGGTGGCCCTGGGAGGAGGCTGTAAATCAGCAGTACTTGTCGGAAAAAGAATACACTTAAGCTGACAAGAGGGGAAATGGGAGGGACAGAAGCCCTTCCTTCTGGAATGTCAGAGTCAACAATGAAAGACTTACATGGACATTTATTTTTAAAAATGAATAAAAGACAAGCCTCTCTGTTCATCTGCTAATCTAAGAATTAGTATCAAGTAAGGGAGTTTGACCTGATTATGGGGAAAAACCAGCACGAGGAGGGTACTGGGCTGGGGAAGCCAGGCAACAAGGAAGGGTGAGGACACCACTTATCTCAGAGATGAGGTACAGTTTTGCTTGTTTGTTTGTTTTTTTGAGACAAGGTCTTGCTCTGTCACCCAGGCTGGAATGCAGTAGCACCATCATAGCTCAATGCAGCATCAAACTCTTGGGCCCAAGGAGCTAGAACTACAGGCACGTACCACCACGCTTGGCTAATTTTTAACATTTTTTTTGTAGAGATGAGATCTTGCTATGTTGCCCAGGCTGGTCCTAAACGCTAGGCCTCAAGAACTGTTCCTGCCTGGGCCTCCTAAAGTGCTGGGATTATGGGCGTGAGCCACTGCACCCAGGCCAGAGTCGAGATTTTTAAAAGGATACCTTAAAAGATGTAAGGACAGGACATGGATCTTGTAAATGATCCCGGGAGATATTCAGGTCTTAGATGCCCCTGGGAGCATGTCTGGAAAGGCATCTTACCTCAGGTGGAAGGATGGGAAGCCCGCAGGCTGCACACTTGGGGGCCAGTACCCTGCGTGGAGAAACAAAGCAGCAGTAAAAGGTACACAGTGTTGCATCTGGGAGCAAAGCCCAGACTTAGACTTGCACCCGGAGCCCACATGGAGCCTTCCTCCATGCCGCCTCCTGCCGGACACTCGCCTCCCTCATAAATGACTGGAACCTGGCTCACTTTGTGGAAGATGCCTTAGTACTGCTTAAGGAGTGTTCCCTGTCTGCAACGAGGACACTGGCTGCCTCTCATTCTTCTGGGGACAGCACTAACTGTCTGTTTACACCCCTCACCCTGCCTAGCACAGGCCCAGGCAAACCAAGAGCCGTGGAAACCAGCACTGTATGAGGGCCTCGTGAAGTTAGGTCCTGCTGATGCCACAGGGCTTGGTGGATTCCTCCCAAGGCCAGCCAGGAATATGATTATAAGTATTGTTTTTAGTGTTCTATTTTTTTTTCACTACACATGATTCTTTAACCCGTTCCTGTCATCACTGGCATCGACCAACGTCCCAAGGTCCCCGCTGCACCCCTCAAGACCATTAAGCCTTTGCTGGACTGTGATCTCAGGGTGGCTGGCAAACACGGTTCTGTCAGTTTCCATCGCTCACTCTGCTGAGATCAGCTTGGCCTACACGAATGGTTCCTGTCTACTCCCGTCTCTTCTTACTTGTGGTAATCTCGGACACAGTAGATCTTGTTCTCTGAGTCTACGGTGAAGGGCACTCCATCCAAACACTCATTACAGATGACACAGCGGAAACAGCCGGGGTGGTAGGACTTCCCCAGGGCCTGTAGGATCTGGAGGAGAGGCCAAGACTCAGTGGGGATTATAGGGAAGCATGGCGGAAGGGGAGAGAAACACATCAGGCCTAAGGATGATATGAGCAGTCACACAGCATGAAGTACACTTACCCCCGAGTTTAACCTAGGAGAAGAACAAGATGTGATGGGGGTGGGACAGGCAAATCTGTTTAGATGAATACACAGGGAGAGACCACACAGGGACCCTGTTCCTGCAGCCTCTCACAAGGTCTCTCAGCCGGGAGGGAAAGAGGGCTTCTTGCCAACCCTCACCCTGAGCAGGACACTCGTACATAGTTCTTTCCTAGAAAGAGATGCTAAGGGAGGGCTGGGCCAATCCCAGGGCCAGAACCCACCACGGAGAAGTGGGAAATGATACAAAGCAAGACCACAGAAGGATCCATCCTTCCAGATTTGGGAAGCAGCAAGTACTTGGAAAAATGAAAAGAAATTCCACATGGAAATGGCAGAGCTCAAAAGAAACTCCTTCACTGCTGCCTCTTGGGTGTCCCTTCTATGCAGCTTTGACTTTGGAGCATGATAATCTTGAAGTTCTGACTCAACCCGATGACCTCAAATTCAAGTGTAATAAGTAAAGTTTCTCTGTTGTTGTTTTTAAACACAATGGAGGGAAGGCCCCACAAACCTTCTTCCTCTCAGTGTCATTTGATCTGAATCTGGATGGGATACCTGGAACTGCCAGAGCCAACGTGAAACCAGGACAGACCCGAGACATGGAGAGCAGGAAAGAGAAGAGATGGAAGGAACACCCTTGGTGAGGTCCGTAAGTAACTGAACTAACACACCATGGAACCGTGTACCTCCAAGCCTCTTTTTAGGTGAGATAAAATATTCCTATTAAGTCAGTGGTCCTCGATGTGTGGCTCCTGGACCTTCAGCATTAGCATCACCTGGGAACTTGTTAATAATGCACATTCGTGGACTCCACCCCAGATTTCTTGGATCAGAAACTTGGGGGGTAAGGCCCAGCAGTTGGTATTTTAACAGGGTGATTCTGATATATATGTTAAAGTTGGAGGATCATTGGTTTAACTTGAATTGAGTTGGTTTTTTTTCTATAATTTGCAGTTGAAAGTATCTTTGCTGACTTAATAGGAGATGCATTTCTGCTATTACCTGTGCCACAAAGCTTAGCGCAAACAACTGAACTACAGGATCAACATGAGTAAGGTCACACAGAAACATGCATCTGCAAAGAATGTACAGAACGGTCATCAGCATCCAGCAGTGGGAGCCACACGGAAAGCCTTCAAGCAGGCTGAAGAAAGGGGATTTTGGATTTAGGGAAGCCTTGTCAGTATACTGTGAGACCCGGGGGAAAGATACGCTGTGTTCCAGCTCCTTCTCCTGGAAGCCTCAGGCGGTAACTCCACATCGCACAAGCTCCAGCCAAGAAGGCAAGAGGAGGGTGTTGTGCTATTCCAGCTTTCCTCTGAAAGCTCGGCTTTCAAGCTTCCTCTTGGGTTTCACTAACCTTTGAGGCCCCTCTCAATCTGCAGTAAGGCAAAACAGGAAGAACAACTGGCTGGGCTTCCAAACCCATTTGGCAATTTGGACCTTGGAATGCATTTCCCCTAAGATTAACACTCTCTTGGCAGACAGAGATCCTTAAACTAATTTAATCCACATTGTGCCTAAAGTAAGACTGGAAAAAGATGCCACTTTGCTGCATTGTGACTAGCTGTAATGCTTTTTTATGTGAGACTATACCTGGTTCTAACCTGCAAGCCCAGAATGTACCCCTCCATTAACAAAAGGTGAAACAGAGAGACAATTTATACAAATAGTTAGACAGCTGAGGTTCTGTCTAGACATTCACTAAAAGTTTTCACGTCCTAGAGAAGATCTGAAAGACTGAAGATTCAATTTCATACTATCCCATATGGTAGAGATCTCACATCAAGGGATGGAGACTATTTCTCTCTCCCCTTGAATCAGAACTGGCTTTGTGACTTTCTTTAATTAACAGAAAGCAGAAGAAACAATGTTCTGAGATTTCTGAGTCAAAGGCTTAAGAAGACTGGAAGCTTCCACTTCCTATCTCTTGCTCTAAGCAAGTCTGAACTAGACTACTGAATGATTAGAGGCTACAGGGAGAGGGGACTAGCAGGTGAGAGGTCACCCTGGATGTTCCAGTTCAACTGTGCTACCAGCTGAACAAAGTTAAGTACGAGACCCTTGCCAATGCCGCACAGAGCAGAAGAATCGCCCTGAGGTACCCTGACCTAATTCCTGACCCACAGCATGATAAATAAGAAATCACTATTGTTTTAAACTGCTAAGTCTTGGGGTGGTTTGTCATGCAGTAATAGATAAATGACATACCTTGGATTATCCAAAGAAGTCTTAGGATTACTAGAACTGAGAATAGGGTATAATCATACTCATTAATTTGGACCATGTTTACTTCATATGCAGTAGGTTTGTCAGAAGGACATTAAAAACAAGGGCAAACTCTGCTGAAGAAATAAAGCCCTCCAGAGTCTAGAAGATACCTGGGTAGGAGGGGTAAACATATGTAGCTTCTGCCTACCTCCTGCTGCGAGCATGGGGGAAGGGCCATGTTTCCCAGGAAGGTCTTGGCTACCAGTGAGGACACGGCTCTAATAGGGCTAAGACCTCTATTGAGGTCTGTCAAAGCCTGGGTGATAGCAGATATTTATCATGAATAGGGAGGGCTCTGGGTCATTGAAGTTTTATAAATGTTAGCATATGACCAGCAGAAGTGAGTGTTTATGTCCATCAAAGACATGTACAAAAGTGTTCACAGCAGCTTCATGCATAAATAGCAATAAACTAGAAACGAGCACATCACCATCAACACGAGAAGGGAGAAGTAAGTTGTGCTATATCCATACAATGGAATTCTACTTAGCAATAAAAATCAATGAACTACCAATACAGGCAACAGCATGGATGAATCTCAAAAACATACATGTAAGAAAGACCTGAAAGAGTCTATACTATATGTTTCTATTTATATGAAGTTCCAAAACCAGCAAAATGAATTTCTGGCAACAGAAGCTGGAATAGTGGTTGCCTTTGTGGGAGCAGGGTCTCGAGTGGAAGAGACAAGAAGGAACTTTCGGGAGTTTGGGAAGTGTTCTACATTTTGATTTGGGTGGTGGTTACAGGGGTATATGCAGGTGTGAAAACACGTTGAGTTAAGATTGTATCTTTTATTCTCTGAGTTATTTCTCAATAAAAAGGTAAAATTAAAAATACTCATGATTAAAAATTCTCTTCTCTAGAATGAAATTAATGAGTCAGCTTAGAGAGGGATTTGATTCTTTCCAACTGAAAGTATGTTATATAATCATTTCCTCTGATCAATATATTAAAGAACTTCTTAAAGTCTGGTTTCCAAAGGTGAACAACTTGATCTTGTATTCATTAACTTCGCAACCGAACCCTCTAGGGAAAAACTGTCCCCACTGAAGACCTGAAGCCCAAGATAACCTCAGACAGCCAGTGGCTGAGCAAGGAATGGAATGTATAAAACGTGGTCCTGGCTCTGCTGTCTCAGAACTAAATGACAAGCCCCAAAAACGCATCTTAGTAACGGTGTGAGCTGGGCAGAACACAGGGAGAGAAACAGCTTTGCTCCTCTGGCTTTCTGCATTTGACTCCAAGGTAGCTGAGGTTTCTGCAGTAAAAACAGACCGTACTTGGCATCTCACCTGGGATGCCAGAAGGATCACAGGGAAGCCAGAGAGAGGCCAGGGGGATCCAAACAACCCAAAGGAGAAGAAAGCATTATTGGAAACATGACATCCTGTGCTCTAGATGGTTAAAGATGTCAATTCCAATAAAAGCCAAAAACTTGGGTTCTATTCGATCAAGCAAGCTGCACTTCATAAGAACTTTTTTTTTTTTTTTTTTAATGAGACGGAGTCTCGCTCTGTTGCCCAGGCTGGAGTGCAGTGGGGTGATCTTGGCTCACTGCCACCTCTACCTCCCAGGTTCAAGCGATTCTTCTGCCTCAGCCTCCTGAGTAGCTGGGACTACAGGCATGCACCACCACAGCCAGCTAACTTTTGTATTTTTAGTAGAGACGGGGTTTTACCGTAATGGCCAGGCTGGTCTCAAACTCCTGACCTCGTGATCTGCCCACCTTAGCCTCCCAAAGTGCTGGGATTACAGGCGTGAGCCACTGCACCCAGCCAGGACTTCTTTTAATAAAACCAGCCATAACTGCAAATCAAGATAAGAAACACTGTCCTCAATTATTAATTTCTTTTTTCTCTAAATGCCTCCTGCTCTACCCGAGATGCTGTTCTCTTCTTTGGCTGACCTACTCACCATGTCCATGATCAGATGTCCACAAAGAAAACACCTGTCAGCCGACTGCTGGAAACCAGAGTACTGCAGAAGAAAGAGAAAAGAAAGTTAAACCCAGACTGGGAAGATGAATCAGCCACTTCCCGACCAGCCAAGAGGATTATAAGGAATTTCTCAGAAAGATGTGCCACTCTGTGCAGAATTCTGTCATTCCCCAAGTACAACACAGCTGTGGGCTGAGTCGTAGAATATTCTCTGCCACAAAAGCCATCACGAATACTAGTACCACTCACTCTAACAATGACTGTGTCTGGGCACCCACAGCATGCCAGGCTGTAGGTAAGGAACTGTATATAGAGATGCTTTAATCCCATCTCAGTGGTTCTCAAAGAGCAGTTCCCTGGCATCACTTGAAAACTGTAAAAAATGCAAATCCTTGGGCTCTACTCCAGACCTACTGATTTGGAAACTCAGGCGGTGGGTTCTGGCAATCTGTCTTTTCACAAGCCTTTCAGGGGATTCGATGCATTCTCAAACCTCCACTCTGATGCTTAGGACAGTTCTGCAAGGTCTATATGATTATCCAGAATCCTCAAATAGAGACAGAGGGCAGCTCAGAGGTTAAGTGACCTTTTCAAGGTCACATAGCCAACAAAGGGTAAGGAAAGGAATCACATTCAACTCTGGTTCTGGTTAAAAAGCTAATATTTTTTATAGTTAGCTTCCAAGAAACTTGATAAATATCTATTTTACCTTATCTTACCTAAACACACACACACACACACACACACACACACACACACACACACACACACACAGAGTCTTGAAAAAGACAAGAGGTGCTCTCTTCAAAAAACACGCTAGATGATCCTACACACTAGACTAGAAGTTTGGGTATTACAAACACAACTTAACTGGGGGAACCCTAATGAAAGAAAGGTGGGAAAAACTAAAAAGGGAAACTGTCTGCAACTCTGTACCACGGGATGGAGGTTTCTGTTGTCTGGCACCTACGCCCCATTCTGGGGGTGATAATTCTTTAATTTTCACTTGGGATCCAGCCCCCAGCCCCACACCATGTGGCTCCCATCACTCATGTGGGCTGGCTCCATGCCGGACCCAGGCAGGGCATCGACAGACCTGGTCCATCAGAGCCTTACATTCCTCCAGCATTGACAGTTTTTCCAGGGGTGGGCGTGTGGCCCAGGAAGAGCCAATGAGACTCCAGGAGATGTCTGTGGAGGATTCCGAAGGAGGGACTGGCACTCGTGCCCGTTGGATGTGAAACTGAGCGAATATAAACTCTGCGGTCCTGCCAACTTTTGGCCATCACACAGGACTTTTTGGTACCGAGACGCAGGGCCAAAAACTGCAGAGAAAATGACTCCTGAGGCACTGCTGGAATAATCTCCTTTATACTTAAGCCTGTTTGGGTTTGCTTGTCTGTTTCTGGACAACAGGAGTCAAAATGAATCAACAATTCAGTGAAGACCAAATAGAGCTTTTCTCCAAGGGAAGGCAGGGAGAAGCTGGCCCTGAGCCCATTTCTGCATCTCACATTCCTCATCCCTGAGATGACAGGGTCAGCTCAACCACCATCTACCAAGCACCCACTCTGTGCATGGCACTGTGTTAGCATCTGCAGGTGTGAAAGTGAAGATGCACGTTCTTGACACCCTGGGAGCTTTCAGTCAATGAAGGACACTTATAAACAGACACACTGCTCAGGGCTAGCAGCCCTCAGGGCAGGCCCTGGGCGTGGTGGCAGCACAGAGGAGCTCCTCCATTGTGGGAGCAGGAGGGACAGGAAGGCTGTTGGGGGGATCTGGACAAATAAAGGGCCAAGATGTTGCAAGCGGGAAATGGCCCAAGCAAAGGTACGACAGCATGAGGCTGCATAGGAGTGGGCGGCAGGGGATCCAGACCTCGGAGGGTTTCTAAGTGTGCTTTGTACCCTGCAGATGCTGGGACCACGCAGGCCAGGTTTACGCCCTATGAGGCCTCCTGAGGTGTGTGTGTGGAGCCTGTTAAGCTAGCCTGGCTGAGCCATGCTGGAGGTGTGAACGGAGGCAGAACTGTGGAAGACATGGCGGCACAGGGTTCCACGCCTGGCTGTATTCAAGGAGGTGGGGCTGAGGACAAACCTAGGGTGCAGTTCTCAGAGATCAGGGTGCAAGGCACGGTAAGATTTTCTGCTTCACATAAGTGGGGCGAGGGGCTGGTATTTGAGGGGCTGGGAGACAGCCCAGGGGACATGTCCAGGGGGCAGTGGGATGCCAGCAGCTGGCCTCAGACACGCAGCAGGATGACAGCTCAGGTCTGGGAGCCACTGGCACATGGATGGACTTCCAGTCCATGGGAGAAGCTAGATTCCCAGAGACAGCAGGATGAGAAGAAGAGGGCCCAGGTCCCAGTCCAGAGGTTTAAGAGGAGGAGTCCAGGGTGGTGGAAGAGGCAGAACTACAGAAAGCAGCAAGAGGACAGGCCAAGTGACCCCACAGTTCCTTCAAAGCACAGCGCTGTGTTGCTTGCATTGGCTCAGGAACACGGCCACCCCCACGCATCTACAGAAGGAAAGGCAGACCCCTCTCTCCAGCAGCATAGCTCCTCTACACGCTGGCCCAGGTACCCCCAGGCCCCTGCCCTCTGACCCTGGCCAGGACATGCAAGGGGAGGCTTGGGTGACACACTCACCAGGAAGTCTTCTTCACAAAACACTTTGCCGTTGACAAAATAAAAGGCTTTTCCTCTCAGCTTCCGGCCTAAGGAAAAAAACACAAAGACAGGGTAAAAAAAGAAAAATTTTAATATGCAGTGAAAAAAGTGAAAGTGAAAGCAAAATCTTTAGGCAGAAATAAACACGTAAAAACCGCCAACTGTCAATGACACTTTCCAGTTCCTAAATGATGCCATGGCCCTCGGCGAGAGGCAGGCAGGCTGAGGCCAGGAGGAAGGGTGCCCTGGCAGGTGCTATTTGGCAAAAAGACTCAAGGGCTGACTTGGAAGTCATCCTACGCTCACCTTCCAGCGCCACTTCTCTGCTTGGAAAGACACCAGCAAAGCATTTGGTGGCGGGACGGCAGAGGCACACACAAGAGGGCATCCGGACAACGTGAAGACGCAGTTTCCCACAGGTATTTAGGACAGTCACCTTGGACATGCGCTCCAGGACTCTTGTGACCGCCTACCAGGAGAGTCCTATACATTGGTTAACTATTTTTTTCTATCTTTTTATTATGTGAAATGTAGAAAACACACATTGTTGGAAGGATATTTTTGTTTTCTCTTGATCTAAAATGAGTAGGCAGGAGTGGGAGAAATTCAAAGCACCCCGATTCCTTGGATGGAACTCCTGTTTCTGTAAGGCTAAAACAGGCAAACATCCTTTATCAGGCTCTCTCATCTCTTATAGAACACAATGGGGCTGCGAGCTCAAGGTTGGCAGAGGCATCATTAGGGCGTCCCTGGATCCCCTACTCAGCGGTATTCACAGACCTGAGGACATTTCCAGTGCCAGGCTCAACACATACTCAACAGGCAATGTGGGGGTTTCAGAAGCTGAATGATCTCTCCGCAGAAATTTAAACCAAGCCCTTTGGGGCCAGGGTCCACAACATGAATGCAAAATCACCGATGTCACAAACAGTGCCTGAGACACAGAGAAACCTGCCAGACAAACAGACACTGGCTGCCCTCGCCTGGCGACACTCACAGGAGGCAAAGCAGTGCAAGGCAGGTAGCAGCCAGACTGTCAGTGAATACTCCTCAGCCTTCAGAGAGGACCCAGAAAGCATCAATGCAGAGGACAAGACATAAAAAAGGCAGTAACTTTAACTACAAATACAGAAACCTCCAGATGGATGAAAGCCCTAAGTATAAAAAATAAAAACTAGTATAAGAAACTACAAGCTTTTCAAATTTTCTATTTTGTGATAGTTAATGTATTTTATTTTTATTGTAAGAAAAGAAAGTCTGACTTTGGCATGGAGAAGGATTTCGTAGGTAAGATATAAAAAGCACATAGCATAAAGTTCGACTGATCAATAGACATCAAAAATGTAAATTTCTGTACAGTAAAAAAGGGTTTAAAAGATGAAACTGCTGAAAAGCCTGCTCCCCAGCAGGGAGGCAGAGGAGAGGGTCCCAGGGCAGGGCTTGAGGCTGCATGGAGAGCAGTGGAGATGGAGGAGGCATAAGTGCTCAGCTGACCTGGCTGCAGGTGAGACGTGGAGGTGGGAACAGAGGCGCTGAAGAGGCAGGAGGCTAAGGCCAAAAAAGGAATGAGGGGGTCTCTCAGCTGACAACCCACTTTCATGCCTCTGTGCTTTGCTTAACTAGATGGCCCTTTCCTCAGGCCTGACCAGACCATTCTGACATAGTTTGGCTATTTGTCCCCATCCAAGTCTCATGTTGAAATGCAATCTCCAGTGCTGGAGGTGGGGCCTGGTGGAAGGTGATTGGATCATGGAGTGATTTCTCAGGGTTTAGCACCATCTCCCTTGGTGCTGTCATGGTGATAGTGAGATCTGGTTGTTTACGAGGGTGCACACCTTCCACTCTCCCTCCTGTTCCAGCCATGTGAGGTGATTGCTCTCCCTTTGCCTTCCACCATGATTGTAAGTTTCCTGAAGCCTCCCCAGAAGCCAAACAGATGCCAGCATCTACTTCCTATGCAGCCTACAGAACCATGAGCCAGTTAAACCTCTTTTCTTTATAAATTACTCAGTCTCAGGCATTTCTTTACAGCAATGCAAGAACGGACTAATACATCTACGTATGTCATTATTAATTGAACTGAACACCCGTGCAGATAAGGCAGAATGCCCGAAGATAACAGCAATGACGGTCTGTATGTAACTGAGAGCGTGCACGTGTATACACATACACAAACTAATACTGCATTTTTTTTTTTTTTTGAGATGGAGTCTCGCTCTGTTGCCCAGGCTGGAGTGCAGTGGTACCATCTTGGTTCACTCAACCTCCGCCTCCTGGGTTCAAGCGATTCTCCTGTCTCAGCCTCCTGAGAAGCTAGGGATTACAGGCACTTGCCACCATGCCAGGCTAATTTTTGTATTTTTAGTTAAGATAGGGCTTCACCATCTCTACTAAACACCTGCTGGAATTACAGGTGTGATCCACCATGCCTGGCCACAAACTAGTACTGTATGTCTTTTATTGGTAGTATATATGGTCACGGTAGGAAAATTTCAATTCATAATAGCAGCTGCCCTAGGGAAGGAAGGGAGAGGATGGGAAGAAGAATCAAGATGATTCCAATTTTTATATATTTATTTCCTTTATAAAAAAGAACTACAATGTAAAAATGTCTGTGCATTCTGAGTGATAGGATTATTTCCTACAGTACTTTCCAGTAAGTTTTAAAATACACACACACACACACACACACACATGCACACACACACATTTAGGTGAAATACCATAAACCAAAGGGGAATAACAAACTGGAGCAAACATCTATACTATATGATAGAAAAGGACTTAACTCTAACATGAAAATAACTCAAGTAACAGCTCTGTATAAAAGACAGGAAAATAGGCAAACCATGAAAGAAGTATGAGTCACCAATAACTATAAAATAGAACCTTTAGCTTTCCTTATGATTTAAAAAATATTGCCGCCAGGCACAGTGGCTCACACCTGTAATTCCAACACTTCGGAAGGCCAAGGCAGGAGGATCACTTGAACCCAGGAGTTTAAGACCAGCCTAGGCAACACAGCAAGATCCCATCTCTACAAACAATTAAAAAATCAGCTAGGTGTAATGGTGCATGCCTGTAGTCCCAGCTACTTAGGAGACTGAGCTAGGAGGATCACTTGTGCCTAGAGGTTGAGGCTGCAGTGAGCTGAGAGCGAATCTGTGCACTCCAGCCTGGACAACAGAGTGAGACTCTGTCTCTCCAAAAACAAACAAACAAAACCTTATGCTTTACCTATCAGACTAGCAAGGGTTAAAAAGAATGATAACCCAGTGTTAGTAATGACACAGACAAACATACTTGTTCACACACTGCAAGGGAGAGAAGAAGCTGAAACAAGGTCTTAGGAGAGAAATTTGGCATTAAATGTCAGTGGAATTTAGAAAGTTCCGATATTTTCTCCCGAAAAATTCTACTTCAGGAATTTATCCTAGAGAAATCATCATCTCAGCTTTATTTATAATAGCTTGCTAAAAATGAGCATCAAATATCCAATTCCTATTAAATAAGTGATGACCCATATACATGTTGAAATATAATGCAGCCATAAAAAGACTGTGTTTTCAAAAAAAGATTGACAGGGAAACATATGTTTAAAGGAAGTATACAAGTGTGTGTGCTACAGTTATGAACACTCACATACATGATCACAAAATTATGTGTACATCCATACACATAAGATGAATACCAAATGTTAAGTCATTGCCTTCGAGTGAAAGACACAGGTGATTTTCAATTACTGTTTTCTCCTGCAATAATTATGCATTATTTTTATAACCCGAAACAAAGTTTAATGAAGTAGGGGAATGTTGGGGCGGGGTGTGGGAGAGGCAATGGGACTTACATAGAAGGCCACAACTCTTTAGGCCTCCAAAGTTGCTGTGTGTCCTCCCTCAGAGTTACTGCTGCCCCTTCTTCTAGCAGGTCGCCAACTTTGAACGTTCACAGTATTTTCTGACTCTGCTAAACTAGGGTACCAAGAATGTTTACCTACAGCTGGATGATCTCAGGGACCATCAGCAGAATTCCCTTGACAGCCATGGAAATTAATTTCAGTTATTTTACTAAAACTTTCGTCTCTATAAACGGACTCCAGAGGACCCCAAGTTTTAGAAAAGAAAATGAGAACTAACTAGAGTATCTTTCCCATGTTCTTCCCACATCAGACACCTACTCAGGTGACAGCTCATCTGCTGTCCTCTGTCCCTCACCAGGAACAAGGTGACAAGGACACAAACAGCCCACCTGGCCAGGTGCGGTGGCTCATGCCTGTGATCCCAGCACTCTAGGAGGCTGAGGCAGGTGGACCACTTGAGGTCAGGAGCTCAAGACCAGCCTGGCCAACATGGCGAAACCTCATCTCTACTAAAAATACAAAAATTAGCTTGGTGTTGTGGCCCGTGCCTGTAATCCCAATTACTTAGGAGGCTGAGGTAAGAGAATCACTTGTACCGGGGAGGTGGGGGCTGCAATGAGCGAAGATCGCGCTATTCCACTCCAGCCTGGATGACAGGGCGAGACTCGGTCTCAAAAAAAAAAAAAAAAAAAGCCCACGTAAGAGAAGCTGCTCAACCAGGAAGCAAAACAATTCACACACTGTCCAATCACAAACAAAGTCCAAATCTTTACTTGTCGAGTTCCCCAGTTTGGCTGCTTCCTTCTCAGAATTCCTGCAAGGTAAACTCACTTCTGATGAGAGGAAAGGAGGTGGGGCTGCAGTTGTGGATGGGGACATCACCAGGAAATGGCACAGGGCTTCCAGATCTTGGGCTTCTGACCAATGTATGGGGAACACAGCAAACAGCACTCTGGTTCCAGGGATGGGGTTAGCAGGTTCTGAGGAATCTGAGCTGGAAATCAATGTTTTGTGTAACAGGGAGAAGACCGCCTCTATTCCAAAAATCCCAGAGGAAGATCATGGAACATGCAGAAGCAGTGAACAACAAAGATTTTGAAGTGTTTGTGATTGTTGTCACTGCATATTTTCATAAGCTGCTGCTGAGAGTGTAAGATGATAAACTCTCCCTGCAAGGGAAACTTTAAA